ACAGCTGGACGGATGCTAAAGCTAGACAGAATCGAAAAACTAAGATAGACCTTCATTACCCTGAAACCAGCCTGAAAATCTCTTGCACTCATCACTTAGGACAATATTCAAATTTTCAACGTAAGTGTTGATTTAGTCCTTCTATATGAGTAAGAAACCAGCACTGCGTGTCACAGAAAGAATTTCCGAAATCCAGCTGCAGACTTTTATGAACATTTGCCACCATCGCTCCATAGTGAAGATCAGACGGGCAGCAAGGATTGTCAACAGAAAACTCCGGGGACGAATCAACCAAGAACCTATTACTCAACAAATATGCCAATGGAAATAAAGATGGATACACGCTTAAGTGACCGTAGGTTGACATCGCGCCCCCCGATCCGTCGCTGGAGTGGAACTCAAGTGAGAAACGACTAGTTAGGCTTACGAGAGTGACATGGAGGAGATGAGAGACTATGGACAATTGTGGGACCATCTGAAGGGGACTGCAGAGAACAGGACAAAATGGGAACGTGATGCTGAAGCCCTACGTTCCACTCAGAACCCAAGGGTTTAATCATGCTAACATATGATTGTGTGTTTGATCTCCTAATAAAACTATATTTATGGCATATAATTCCTTGAATTCTGAATGATACATGCATCTTCAAACCCTGATAGATTGTTAACGTCAATCTTCCCTATCTTCTGCGCCTACTGCTGATTAGTAAGATGAACGGTCTATGCATGTATCAGCCAGAATCGATTCTGGACCATGTCCGTGGTTCAGGACCATTCTATCATTGAACCTCTGGCACACTGTAGTATTTCAGATATAGTTTAAGCTAGTCAGTCTTACAAAACTCTTTCAATTTAAAAGCGTTATCGTGGAGGAACATACAACGTAGAATCAGTAAAATAGTTTAATCGCACAAATACTCTGATAACACTTGTGGTCTTATTATTTGATGTGAAGTGAGTTCTGGTGAACTTGATTCATTGACGTATTAGGAGGGTAGCAATTCGCAACCAAAATGTATCAGTTCAAGTTGTTAACTACCTTGATCATGGTTATGAATTGAAAGGAAATATCTTTGTGGAGTTGCCGATTAATGGGACAGTGATTCACTGGTAGACCGCTTATCAGCTACGCATAGGATCAGGATTTGATTCTCAGTTAATGCACTCTGAAGCCTTCTCTAATTCACCAGCCGGTAGTAAGTCAAGAGAATAGGGAATATTAGATGTGGGGCTAGCAAATCCCACTTCACAGAAGCGATATTAGCGCTACTAAAGCCTGAAAGCTCAAAACCTCTATATTTTCACTTGGAACGAAGTCATCAGTGGTTTACAGCAGGTTGGGTGAGAGGACAAATACTCGCCACCGATGACATTGGCTAGTGAAAGTCGCGTCATGTCGTACGTGAATCGGCAGAAGTTGGAATTCATGGACTGGCCAATGGATCAGGTCCAAGTAGCTTAATGGTCCACGAGCTTGCCTTGTAACTGGAGGGCCTTGGGTTTGAACCTCACCGGGGTGGGTGTGTACTGTTTAAGAGCCCCGCACTAGGCTGACGAAACAATTAGCTGTCCAGTACTCCAGTTGTGGTTTTCCAATACCTCTCTAACCGATGTCAGCTCACCCCTGCAAACCAACAGTTGAAAATAATAATAATCATAGCAGTTTGGCGTATGAAGAAAGTAACTTCTAAGTGAGAATGAAATTAGTTTACAAACTTTTATTTATTTTATTTGATTATAGCTTGACTCCACACATTGCTTTTGATAAATGTACGGCATTCTCAGCATGTGATATGGGTAGCCCAGATTTAGCAGGCTGACCATTGATATCAGATGTGTGATATCAGGCGTCGGCCTGGGATCGAACCCCCGACCATGTTCTTGGTCGGCGAGCGTCCTAACCACTGTGATACCGTCGGAGACTTCATTTACACAGATCTACAAACCAAGAAGATCAGATTTACTTAGACAGGTAGAACCAGTGCTAGTTACAGCCCAAATTGAGTTCTTCAACTTCGAATCTTTGAGGGTGCAACAACTCCACACCAACAATTTACGTCAATTTTTACATCCCGAATCGCGGTCATGAGAGGAACTCATTAACCAATTACATCAGACTTAACGTGTGCAAGTACGATTCGCAGATATATGGCTTAACTTTCTAAGAAATGGTCACAAGCACTACAGAATAACTTTCAGCAAGAAAACAACCAATCAGAAGATGTTGCTTCTCCGCTGACAATAATGTAACATAAAAATCTATAAATCTCTGTTAATTTTCTCAATGAACGATCTGTTGCCTGACCCTTGTCTTCTGTCGTTACAAGATCACAGCTTCTCACCGATTGTCTTTATCCTTATGAAATATTAACTTTTAAAGGACAATGTTAACTAAACTTTATGCAGCTTAAATACTATGAAGTTATTCGGATATATTTAAGGTCATAATAACAATGAAGACCACTAAACCAAATAGCAAAGGTAATAGTATATCTGCTATGGTATCAAAACAAAATTTACCAAGGAAGGTTTAATGTGATGACGAATTGTTTTTAAAGTGGCTTAAACCTGCTAATTGCTAGCTAGGCCTTCCAAAAACTTTAGTGTACGCCCTCCCCGAAACACGTTTTATAGACAGATAGGTGTAAAAGATCTGTTAACGTCAATTTTATGTCCTGTCTCCTCTGTAATATGTTTCGTAATAGAAGAGCCAGGTCTTCTTCTGTTCTCACCATTTACGGATTCTGAAGATTCCATTTGTTTCTGGAGCCATTTAGGAATATGCTCTGAAGCCACGCCCTACTTGCAGAGATCGATGAGTCCTCCCTATGTTTGTGTGTCCACGCGTACATTCAAATTGGTAAATACAGTGGGATGTGACGTCAATTTTTGCATGTTCGAAGGGCTTAGATAGATATATTGGCTTTACATTCTCTATTATTATGATATTACCCGCATAAGAAATCTTTTTAACAACAGCGTTCAGTCTTTGTCTAGTTATCAAGCTGCTTTGATGCCCCATATAGAGTAGCTTGATGTACACGTCTTTCTTAGGGGCGAATTGTCGAGTGGGTCTTGGTGTTCTGACTACTTTATATCTCCTGATGAACTTGTCTGGATAATTGTTATCAACCAGAGTTTGTGTCAACTTTCTTTCTTCTTCATCAAGTGTGTCTTCAGTCCATATTCGTTGGATTCTACTGAAGAGGCACCTTACTAAGGCTCTTTTGTACCGAACAAAAAAAATTGTTAAAACTTTATGCAGCTGATATCATAATAAGAGATGTAAAGCCAATATATCTATCTAAGCTCTTTGAATATAAGAAAAATGATGTCACATCCTATTGTATTTACCAATTTGAATGTACGCGTGGATACACAAACATAGGGAGGACTCATCGATCTCTGCAAGTAGGGGCTGGCTTCAGAGCATATTCCTAAATGGCTCCAGAAACAAATGGAATCTTCAGAATCCGTAAATTGTGAGAACAGAAGAAGACCTGGCTCTTCTATTGCGAAACATATTACAGAGGAGACAGGACATAAAATTGACGTTAACAGATCTTTTACACCTATCTGTCTATAAAACGTGTGTTCGAAATGTCATCTTGTGTGTCTATGTGTTTGTTTGTGAGTGTGTGTGTACATGATATATACACATATAAGTAATAAACAAATTAATACGGAGGTTATTCATAAGACTGACAAAATAAAAATAAGGTCACATGGAGAAACACTGATATCTAATTGAATTTTAATGCATAAAATTTGTAACAGTTTATTAGAGATGAAGATTAATCCATGTGTGTGTGGGGTTATATGTTTAATCAACTAAATTAAGTCAGACTTATTGTTTACGTTTGAATTATCATGATCACAATGCTATAAATGTGATATTTATGTTGTTGATGAATAATGTCAAAATATATTCTGATGTCACCTGGCTGAAAGTTTATGTTTATCTACAGTATTCTGTGAGTAGCTATCATAGTGAATTATATACATATATACACTAATACGAAATTTTTAACAACCGGAAAAGTATTTCTGATTTTGATTGAATAAATTTTCCGACGCATGTGAAGTTTTGTTACATCACAATAATCACAACTAATAAACTGGCATTGTCTGAGTACTGTTTCGTTGTTGTCTTTCTTTCTCCTGACGGAAATTCATTTGATTAACTTTATGAATTTGTCGTCGTAACTGACGATGTTGTTAATTGATAACAGCCTTGTAGTGCGTCTGTCGTCTGCAGATTCATCTTTATTTCTAACTATTAAAGCTGGATCTAGTCTGTCTGCAATCTCCATGCTACTACCACCAATATCACTCACTATTCTAGAATGATTTTTTCTTGCCTTTGCCCGACTTTGGCATATGTAAATGATTGTAACGAGTTACACTACTGTTGGATTTACCATTGAAATCTGAAATAACTGTGTTTTTAGAACACTTCCTTGCTCCTCAGAAGAATGTTCACTTTCTGTATCTTCTTGTTCGCTTCCATTTCATTCGTAGCTCTTCTTAATTGTTATAGCTTTTAGTTCATCATCTAGATCTTCAGCATCCTGTTTAGAGCTGCGTTTAGCGATAGGAATATCACGACTAAGGGCATACACCAAAACCTTCACTCATTACCGACGATCCAGAAAGCATAGATTGCCCACAGGTTGATCGAGATTTGTATTGCAATACAAGCTTTACAAACTCTCTGTTCATAATGGTTGCATCATCTGGATAATCATCATCTTCGGATGAATTGTTAGGGGGATAAAAACTTCTTGAAGTGTTCGCTGAACGTGTTCGTTGGTACCGTATAAGAAAGGTTCCATGAGTGAGACTTCATCTCTTGAGAGTTTTGACATATCTCTTTCTATTGGTTTTGCGTCTATGACAGGTTTATTCTCAGCTGCTTTGGAATTCTCTCCTTCTTCAGAGTCAGTCTCTGAATCTTTTATTGTGTGTCCACCTGCAAGTTCCACGAAGTTATCTGCTATTTAACTATCCATGTCAAAAGACTCTGCATCTGAGTCCATGTTAAGATCGCTTACAGCATGTTCGTCGTGATCAACTTCTGGTTCACGCAATTCTCGTGATTCAGGTGGATTACAATCATCTTCTGGGCAGTCCTCGGGTGCTACTGATATAGTATAACCTTCTTTGGTATTGGAGGCGGATTTTAGATGTTGCATGTAGTCATAATCGTCATCAAAAAATATCCCGTAAATGAAATGAATTGGTACACCCGGAATAGGCTTCGAAACTTCCTTTTCAATTGGTTTGAACTCACATGGCTTCCAGTCCCTTTTACTGAATCTCTTCATTGATAGAAAGCGAACGACTGAATGTGATTACACTGGAACACACTTATTTCGATATGACTTGCTATTAAATATCTAACTGATAAAGTATCACCACCGCAGAGACAAGTATGGAAGATCTGAAGTCACACATATAAAACAAATCACAGTATGAAAATAGGCCAATCTAATTTCGGCTTGATTATAAAGGTGAAAACATTGCAGCGATGATCAACAGAATGCTGAGTACATCACTAGCCATAGCCTATCCTGCAGCTAGGCTCGTTCCCGTCTACCGACCAACTTACTCTTTGGTGCAATCGAAATTCCATAGATATCCTTCTCATGTTAACAACTCCAAGTGTATATACAAATTTACATGTATCTGCGGGAGCAGTTACATTGGAAGGATAGAAAGGAGGGCATATCTACGATTTTCTGAACATGTACTAAAAGGTCTAGGTCTAAAGGGAAAAAATGCTTTAAACAGTGCCATCGCCAGGCATCTCCTCGACACGGGCCATGAGGTGGAAATCGAGAAATCCTTTAAAATTATCAATAGACAAAGGAGCTCGATTCTCCTCAAGTTTGCCGAAGCCATTTCTATCAAACGCTTCAAACCAGATTTATGTGTTCAGAAAGAAGCAGTTATTAGTATTTCCTTGCCCTGGTAACTGGATGTTTTTACTCTCTCATCTGATTACGTAATCTTTGTCTCTAACCTCACCCCTCATTTTTTTATAATCTGTAATTTTGTTTGCCTCTTGTTTCTATGACGTGAGTTGAACTCAGTATATCGTTACCTAATATATTAGCTACTCATCATCTTACTCACCTCTCGTCTTTATTACGTGACTCCTTTGCCAGTGTATGCATGCATTTATTTTGTTTAAACTTGAACTGCCTGTGTAAAAAACTATATAAGCACAATTTTCTGATCACTGTTCACTAAATGTGGAACTTTCTGTCAACTGACAACATATAAAATTTGCAAGTATATTAAAACTTTTCTGTACGTAAACTTCGTAATTTATTTAGGCTATAAGCAGCTGATGAGAAGCCAACGAAATAAGTAATGATGGTATCATATTATTTTGCACAAACCACTGTTGTTCTTGCTTTATTCAAATTCATTAAGGGAATAAATGCATGAATTATTACTATTTATTCTATTCATTCTGAGGAGAACATAGGGATTCAGTGGAACGCCTTCATTCCACCCAGTTCTCTGGTATCGATTCCACCTGACTCTACGACTGCCGAGAAGGTTTTATTTCCGCTTCTCATATGATCTTCTCCATGTTACCCTAGGACTCCCTAATAGCCGATTCGCTTTCACCAATTTCCACTCAACAACCTGATGTATGATTTCACTAGAATGCCTCCTCATTCTGTTTGTCCAGTAGATCTTCATTCCTAGTAAAATCTAGATTAGTTGACCCGAATAAGATAAGAAATCTGGGGAATAGTTCAGCTATACCATCACTATTGCAATTACACACAACCATTCAATAGGATGAGATAAGATGACAGTTTTAAAATCTAATGTCGCAGCAGGGTGGAGGGAGGGAGAGATTGATAAGGCAAGCTTTATTTATCGAATCAATTGAGAAGAATACGTGTAATAGGAATGATTCAACACTTGTCCAGTTGGACATCTGGAGAGTTCTACTACCCCACCGACGACAAATAGGAGAGAACAAAGAAAACTATGAAACTCGAGTTTCGAAGTCGTGTGATTATAATTGCTATGATTATGAACAGTCATAAATTGTGTTCGAAATTTTGTCATCGAGTAAATACAAATACTGTTTCACTGTGTGATACATCTAATAAACAAACTAATATGGAATCTCCATTCCCTTCAGAATACTTTTTGGATAATGTATAAGTCTCTGGCTGGTAAACTGACTATCACATTTCCTCGTTGCTTGCCTATCCTCTCACAGCGGCCATTCCACCTGCAATATTGAGTCAGAAAAGGCATATGTTGATGGGAGTATGCAGTAAGTTGTTTAAAAGGCTTTCGGTGAGGAACACATAAGTCTCTGGATCATAAAGAAGCAGTGAGTGACTGATCTGTCATTAGTGTTAAAAAGTTAGGTTCTTCATCTATTTCAACGCAAGTACTTATTGACTCATGATGAGAATAAACGACAATTCAGCAAGGAAAATTCTCTGTATTGACGTAATCATCTTCAAAGTTTGTTAAGTCGTATTTACATTTACCAAAAATGTATAGTGGTCTGTTATTGAGTAAGATTTAGGGGGGGGTTACATATTTGATGTAATTAATCAGAAATGGTTTCAAAAGTAAAAATAAAAGTTGTAAATTACGTAATACTCAACAGCGCAAAGGACGGAAGCGTTAGAAGTTTGATGACTTTAAAATTGTTATTGAGTGAGGAGGAAGGTGATAGTTGAGTGTCAATTTAACAAGTGTGAAGTGGGTGTGAAAATATACAAAAGGAGCATATGAAATTGATAATAGTGAATTAATTATTAAAACTAAAAACTTACAAAGAACGATCAACGAAGAAGTTAAGACCATTATAGAATATAAACTTTTTCTGTATACGGAGTTCCGGGTTGTATCGACAAATCGCGAACGCCTCCGCCATGCACAAATGCCAAAACCTAACGCCTTCTGTACCATTTGGTCTCATCTTGTAGGTAAATGGAAACTCAACTACCTTTCTCCTCACTCAATAAAAATTTAGCCTCTTCTTTTAAGGCGTTGAGTATTACGTAATTTACAACTTTTATTTTTATTCTTTAAGTCATTTCTGATTAATTATATCAATTATGTCAACCAGCCTGTTACTTTATCCATAAGCTAATTTACGCAGAGTTTTATGCTGATCTTACAATAATGAACGCCTGTCTCACTCTGCCGATTCTGACTGGCTGTGACATCGTCATGTTTGCCTGCTGTAGTTGAGACGACGCTGCCTAGTTAGGTAGGTGAAAGAGACTACTTCTTCTAGGTTTTTCTTAATAACAGTAATATTATTGGGTTCTAGGTATTCCTAGTGAACTTTTAAATCTGAAGTCGTCGTAATAATCCCACTAGATGAGTTTAAATCGTTTCTTCGACTGGGACGACATTCATTTAAGTTACACTGACAAAAATCAATTCAGAATATACTTCAACCGCATCGTGATCTTCATTCCAAAACTACTGATTTTTCTTTTGTAACTGTGCGCCGGTGGCACAGCGGTTAGGACTTTCGCCGAACGTGCACACGGTCCGGGGTTTGGTCCCCTGCCGACGCAACCGCGATATAAATGGTCGGCCTGTCAAATTGGGCTACTGATATCACCTGCTGAAAATTCCATACTTGTATTTTGATTGGACACTAGTAACTAGTGTGACGTGTCTAGTCCTTTGTTTGGTATAGACTGAATTCTATCAGTCAGGTTTGTAATGTGGCCACCATTCTAGGTGACTCGCCATCACGGTGCACATTGATTTGATTATATTAGATGGATGGGGGCAATCGGCAAGCAGGAAGCCTTGGACCTAGGTTTTGTGCTAGTTAGCACCCACCAGTATCTGTATTCTTGAAGGAACTCATGTTCCTTTTGAGATTCGAACCCGCGTCACCCAGTGAGTGCTGCAGTCAGAGACGTTACCACTGAGCTATTCGGGCTTGCGTTTGACCCCCCACTATAGTCCTACAGGACAAATCAATCGTGCAGACTGAATTCTATCTATCAGTCAACTAGCACGAAACCTAGGTCCAAGGCTTCCTGCCGATTGCCTCCAACTAATCAATGCCATACATGTACCCAAAATGCATCTTGGAATCAAGCTGTAATCGGAGAAGAAAAAATAAACATTTTGGTGCTGTGTTGTTCTATGAGTTGGATGGTTCAGTTTTCAAATTGAGGCTGAAGATTTCATCTAAAAGGAGAATGAAGTTTAAACATCTGGCAGGCCAGGTAACACAAAAATAGCAGATTTATTCATCGTATTTAATGAATTTTGAAACAGGATTACAGAACAGGTTATCAACTGATGAATTACTTGTACAATTCCATTTTAAAAAACCCCGCTGAAATCGATATTCAAAACCAACCATGAGAATTTAGATTACGTACGAATTGAGTAAATGTAAGGAAATGATATTCTTTCCGATTAGGAAAAATGCTAAGCCTAAGTTGAGAATATTTCACTCCAGTTACTCATCGCTCAAATGAAAAAGAAACGAACAGTTTATATAGGGTGCTGTCTAAGTATTTGAAAAGATAAACTTCACTAGTTTATCGTTTACAGCCTGAAAAACGCATCGGAGCGTGACCTTATAAAAGTTTAATCATAAGTAGACAGCTCTCAAGTTGTAGCTGTAATTATAACTCATTCTACTTCATATAGTATTATCAGTTGAGGAGATGAATGTAGCTGTTGGGAATAATTGTGATAGTCATCTTATCGTGTCACAGTCACCAGAAAGTGATACTATTCTATATCGTGAGGAGAGGGGCCATAAGAAATAGTCTCATATTCACTGGTAGGAATTCATTGGCTGCTTAATGACCATTGAAATTATCCACAGCTTACATTACTTTAGTGAAAGCTCGTTTATGTAATTCCGTTTTCCATGAACAGTAATCAGTCAGTTTCACATTATCAACCAGTGAGATTGATAGATCAACTAGTACCAGTTCAATTTCATGATGGAATGACTTGATTTGATACAACACACACAAGGATACTGTACTTTTTATTTATTAGTAATAATATTTTGCACACAATTTACTGTTCATATTCAGCTTAAAGTGCTCACATAACTTTCAGATTTCGTTGATATCGTTGCGTTATGATATAGCCACTGATTTGATTGGTAATAATATTCTTGTATGTCTGCAGTATCGATGTTGCATTATTCCTACTGCGTGTGTTCAGCCCTGACCTATGTAGCTGACTTCACAGTCATCGCAAGTTATTTTGTAGATTAGATTATCGAAACAGGAATCCAGCTAACTGTAGAGAATGACTGACCCCAAAAAGATTACCAATT